TTGAAGCTGAAGAAGAGAATGGAACACAGAGGTGGAATCCTGAAGATAGGGTTATGGATCCATTGGATGACAGAAAATGTCTCACGAGGCTGAGGAGTGATTTTTCTAGATATGCATGGCATGATATGGTAGACACTAGCTATCAGTTGCAATTTAAACTATTTTAACTAATAGCATTAAAAATCTGGTTCGTTAGTCACACTAGCACATTTAAAGTGCTCAACAGTGATGCGTGGCTATCACATTGGATGGTGCAGATATAAAACCTTTCCATCACTGCAGACAAGTCAATAGGACAGCACTCACTAGAAGAACTATCTTTGGTGGGGACGGAAAGCAGAAATGTTTTATCTGTTGAAAGACACTGTCCAGTACAGGGTGGGGAATGCAGAATGGGGAAACAACGGCAGCCACAGTGTTGAATGTATGTCTAATCATGTAAAATTTAAGCATCTCTCCAGTGCCATTCCAGAGGATGTCTGGGCTGGTTCCCAAGGTGAGTAACTGAGGAGGTCCTTATTCTACCGAGTATCTGCTTCCTTATTCAGAGGGGTCGTATAGGGGAATAAATGGACATAGTGGCCCATCAGGGAATGTGTCTGCGGTATAACAGGTGGCTTGTCCTATTAAGTTACTAACCAGGAACTGGACTTTCATATTTTGGATAGAAAAGCTCAGTCCCTATGGAGGTCTTTGTAAATGCTTATCTCTTCAAAAAATGCAGATTTGGGAAGGACAGTAAGGAAGCCAGGTACTTCCTTTCCTCAAGCAACCCAAACAGAGAATCCAGGTCCTAAGACTGAGTTTGGCTTAGTAAACCGACCCACCTGTCCAAGAGAAGAGGATCCAGGGCAGCAGAAACAGTCAGAATTCTCCCCAGTGACTGTATGTGGAAAGAAGAATGGGAGAAATACAAGAGCATAAGCCAGATGTTTTTAGAAGAAATAGCTCTCTTTGTTTTTGTTCAGTCTTCTTTCTTGGCAGGATTGCAATATGAGCACATCTGGAAGGGGTTGAGCTGGGGGAGGGGCGTAGCACCAGAGTCAAAGCCAGCCTCTCCCCAGCTCCCTAAGGCTTGTTGTCTCATTCAGTATGAGTTCTTTCCCCAGAGGCTCTTCATTTCCTGAAGCAAACAGTCTCCTGGCAGCCCCACCCTACCAGGCAGCCAGACACAACTAAATATCAGTAGCAAACAACACAGCTGGGACTCCTGCTAGGATAAGATTCATTGGCAGCCCATCATGTGCCAGGAACTTTCAGGGATGTTATTTAGTTGATTTCTCATAATGAACCTATGAGAGAGAAATTGTACTCTCTGTTCTACAAAGGACCAAACTGAGATTCTGAGAAGTTAAATAACTTGCGTGAGGTCCCTAAACTGCACTCATGAATAGGGAATTGACCCCACTATATTTGATGTCAAAACCCACTTACATTTCTGCTACTAAACTGCAGCCTAACAGTCTTTGAAATGGAAGGCCTTGTTCTTTCCACGGTAGGATTTTGTGCTTGTAGGAAGGAGGGATGATGACTGGCAAGATATGATGGTTAATATTACATGTCAATTTGACTGGGCCATGGGGAGCCCAGGTAGTTGTTCAACGACTATTCTGAGTATTACTGCTAAGGTGTTTTTGGATTAGATTCACATTCTAATCAGTAGGAAAAAGCAGCCTATCCTCCACAAGGAGGTGGGCCTCATCCAATCAGTTGAAGGTTTGAACAGAAAGAAAGGACTGGTCTCCCTGAATAAGAGAAAATTCCATAGCAGACTGCCTTCCGACTTCACTTGTAACATCGGCTCTCCTGCCTCTCTAGGCTGCAGATTTGGGCGTGCCATGTCTTCATCATGTGAGCCAATTCTTTATAATAAATCTCTTTGTATGTGAATATGTGTATCCTATTGGTATGGTTTCTCAGGAGAACCTTTTACACAAGGGACGGAGGGAGAGTGATGCTCCTCCACTCTGAGCAAGATGCAGGAGGCTGGGTCTTGGCAGACACCTCTATCTTAGGTTTAGTGGTTATCAATACTCCTCAAAGTACTTAAAATTAAAGTTAGACATTTAGAAATTACAATTTAGAAATTAAAGGAATGACAAGAAATAATTTTAAATGTTAACCAAGCATGTATCTCTTTTGCTTAGGCATCTGTCTACTCCCATATAGAATATTAAAAATTTTATGAGGATGACCTAGATATATACAGATAAAATTCACAAGGATCCTACTTTTATACACATAATCTTATTTTGTGTGTATAAAAGTTCAGTACAAATTCAATAGATGCGAGAGCAGGTGGAGCAGATGTGGAGGAAATCATCCAATTTACCCTTGGGTCAATATAATATGAAGTAGGAACCAGGCCTCTGGTGAGAGCTGTAGGCAAAGCTCTCACAGTGAC